AAGGAAAAGGGGCACCGCACTGAGAATTGCACACCATTGAGACAGCACTTGGAGGAGTTAGTGGCAACGGGACACCTGGACAAGTATATTGAAAGAGGGACACAGCCAGCCCCCCAGAACCATGATAATCCAAACGGAATGCCAATCAACGCCCCACCGCAAGGCATGATAAATGCCATACATGGGGTTTTCGAGCCTAAGCGGGTATGTGAACTCAGGGGAATGATCAAGAAGGCTAAGTACTTAAGAGAAGTACTCAGTGCACAACCTACTATCAAGAAGGGGAGAGCGGAGGCCACCAATGTCATATCTTTTTCAGACAGAGACCTGGCAAGGATATACTGCCCTCACAATGACGCACTAGTCGTCACTCTCCGCGTCAAGGATTACGACATCAAACGGATTTTGATAGACCAAGGGAACTCGTGTGAGATAATGTACTACGACACCTTCAAACAATTGAAATTGGAGGACAAAGACTTGGCGCTTGCAACATCTCCCCTAATCGGATTCAACTCAATGCCAAAGTGGCCAGTAGGCAAAATAATCCTCTCAGTCAGAGCAGGAAGCATAACGAAACAAATGGAATTTTGGGTATTGAAAGTACCTTCCACTTACAACATAATCTTGGGAAGGACATGGTTACATGCCATGAGAGCGGTAGCATCAACCTACCATCAAGTATTGCGGTTCCCCAACGAAGCCGGAGTAATTGAAGAGGTCTTTAGAGACCAAATTATGTCCAAGCAATGCTTCGTCACAGTACATGGCAACCAAGCTGCCAAGGGGTTTGTTCAGATGGTGGAAGAACTTGAGAGCAATGAATTGTTCGCGGATGTTGGGAAGGACCTTACAAAGTGGTCGGATTAGCAGGAAAAGGGGCATACCACTTGGAAGATGAGGATAGTAAAGCCATTCCCAGGCCATGGAACACTGTAAATCTCAAACTATTTTATTTTTAGCTTTTCTTTTTAAGTATGTGTAATTTTCCCTTTTTTCAATAAAGCAATTAGTTTCTTTTCAGCACAATTGTTCTCTGCTGTAAAAATTGTTTTAGTGAGCTAGGGGCATTGTAAGCAGAGTTGGCCGGAATAACCAACTTTGCACTCGCTTCCTAAGCCCAGGATAAGGATCCAGGCTGCAGGACGTTTGGTCGGAATAACCAAACACTTTACTCTAGGTTGGTAGGAAAAACCAACTTAGAGGTTGGCTGGAAAAACGAACACCCCTCTTAAGCCTAGGATAAGGATCCAGGCTGCAGGACGTTTGGTCGGAATAAACTTTACTCTAGGTTAGCCGGAATAACCAACTTAGAAATTGGCTGGAAAAACCAACACCCCTCCTAAGCCTAGGATAAGGATCCAAGTTACAGGACGTTTGGTCAGAACAACCAAACACTTTACTATAGGTTGGCCGGAATAACCAACTTAGAGGTTGGCTGGAAAAACCAACACTCCTCCTAAGCCCAGGATAAGGATCCAGGCTGCAGGACGTTTGGTCGGAATAACCAAACACTTTACTCTAGGTTGGTAGGAAAAACCAACTTAGAGGTTGGCTGGAAAAACGAACACCCCTCTTAAGCCTAGGATAAGGATCCAGGCTGCAGGACGTTTGGTCGGAATAACCAAACACTTCACTCAGGGTTGGCAGGAAAAACCAACACTTAGTCCTCTTCAACCGAGATAAGGATCTAGGCTGAAGAATAGTTGATTGAAAAAACCAACTTTTTGTACTCTTTAGCCGAGATAAAGATCAAGGCTGGAGTGGTTGGCTGGAAAAACCAACACTTATTGTTCTTCAGCCGAGATAAAGATCTAGGTTGAAGAGTGGTTGGCTAGAAAAATCAACTTTTTGTACTCTTTAGCCGAGATAAGGATCCAGGCTGAAGAGTGGTTGGCTGGAAAAACCAAAACTTTTTGTTCTTCAGCCGAGATAAGGATCTAGGCTGAAGAGGTTAGCAGGTATGGCCAGTTAGATTGCAAAGTTAAGACCAAGATAAAATATCTTGGCCAGAGAATGTTATACTTCATTCAGATTACAGCAGGAAAATGAAAGGTAAGCATGGAGTAAATCGAAATAACAGTTGAGGAAAACAAAAGAAGATTTCATTGATAATGCAAAGTCCAAGTACAAAAGATGGGGCCATAGCCCGGTTACAAAAAGCTTCCAAGGATAGCACATAAAGAAAGGAGAAAATACATGGTCATGCAAAGAGATTATCCAAGTCGGCATCCAAAACAACCCGGTCTTTACCAAGAGGTAGCTCGGTTGTATCAGTCACACCTTGGTGAAGCTCAGTCGAAGGCACCGCATCAGACGCAGTAGGCAGTGGTGGGATGGAGACCTCTGGAGTTGGGGAGATAGACTGGCGACCGGGCTGGGTGTTGTCTTCTGGAACAGAATCTTCGTTCTCCCCCTCTTGCAGAAATTTTTGCTGAATGGCAGCAGCGTATTACGCCATACAGCTCGGTTGGAAATACGGAGGAGAATTGAAGACCTCGGTCTCTCGCCAGACAGCAGCGTTCAAGAGAGTGCCTGGCAACCTAAGTCTGCAAAGTAAAAGAGAAAGTTGTTAAGCGCAGATCGTTGGACCGCGCTAAAAGAAACAAAGGCGAGATAAATGAATTCTTAGCTCGGCTACGTGGGATACAATCATGCTTAGCTCGGTTTGAGCAAGGGCCTTTAGCCCGGTTGGGCTTTTGGGGCAGCGTTCTTAGTTCGGTTTTAACTAAGGGAGCTGGTTTAGCCCCAAGTTTTAGCCCGGTCGGTAGTTGAGGCTTTCTAGCGCGGTATTGCGCAAACCTAGTGCGGTTCGATAGCTTGGCTAAGTGAATCAAATGATATTGAAGACCTATTGAAACTACAAGTGTGGCATGAAGTTTCAGTTCGGTTGCCTAGTTTGGTTATGGTAACACCTAATATAAATAACTTCCTAGTTCGGTTGGAGTGTGATTTTGGATCAAAGGGAAAAATTGTGCAGATTGTTCACACATACAGAGGTTCTGTCATGGGTTTTTCCTAGGAAAATAGAAGTAAATGTGGTGTGTATTTTGTGAAACATATAAACAATATGCTATGTATTGTAAAGAAGAGATGCGAAATCAGCAGAAAGGAAGAAGATTCGAGCCACTTACCAGATGAAGATGAAGGAACTAGAGATGGAAGCAGTAGCAACAACGAACACGGATTTTGCAGGCATTGAGTTCAAAAGGAAGAGAGCTCAGAAGGAAGAGAGAGAGGGAGATGAATAGTGTAATAAGTAATTCAAAACGAAAGGGTTTGTTTTGTGTAAAGAGAAAGACAAAAAGGCGGGACTGTTCAAAAAATGCGAGGTACGAGGGCGACGTGACAGCTGCCTTAAGCCAATGAGAGTCAATTGATACATTAGTAACATTACAAATAACATTACAACTACTAAAAACCTCTTAAATTATGCTACATCATCAATTAATACATTAGTTAATACACTAATTGGTGCATATAACATTATTCATAAAGTATATGATTGTTACATAGAACCCAATACTTATTCAGTGATGTTTTTGAAAGTTGGTAAAAAGTTGACTTTTGACTTTTTTTAGGCAAAAAAGCTAGCTTTTTGGGTAGTGACTTGGGTAAAAAAGCTAACTTTTTTTGGCTAAAAAAAGCTAAAAGTTAGCTTTTTGCTAGAGTATTTAGTATTATGCATTCTCAGTTTTATTGAAGTTATTGTTAATTTTACTTTTTAATTCTATTTTTTTTCATATCAACATTATTTTGATGGTTTGTAAAATAATTAAAAAACAAAAATAAAAAAAAATAATTGAAGAAAAATTATTCTCCTCATGTTATAAATTTTTTTTGAGTTGCACGCGTATCGTGTGTATTCAACCGCTAGCTATCTTAATATTTAGGGGTTGTTTGAGATGACCTAAATAAGTGTATTTTTTGTCTTTTTACGAAAAGATGTGCAAAAAAGTAGAGAGATAATGTGATGAAAAAAGATAAAAAGATAAAAAGTGTGTACTTATTTAGGATAGCCAAATTTAACCTTAACCAAAAATATATATTGAAAATTATAGATTAGTGGGACAGTAAAAAAATTATACTATAAATGGAATCTATTTTGATGCAATTATGACGCACAGGAAGTGTTTGCACCATGCACATAGAAAATTTGTACCGCCATAAAAATGTAAATATTTTTTCACCATGTCTGTGGTTTGTAATTTTTCCAAATATGTACATATATACATATATATTTTTACTTTGGGATCTCTCCCACCCATTTTGGAGCTATTTGATATTACTTATAAGTTAACTTTAACATTATAACTTTTTAAATTATTAGGTTAAAAGATTTTTAAAAATTTAAAAATTTATTTGGGGTAATTTTTCATTATCTATAAAAATAAAATAAAATAAACTTATTTAGTTAAATGAGTTGTTCGTAATTGTTTTATTATTCAAAATATTATAAAAAATTATAATTAAGATAAAAGAAATGAAATTATTTTGTCCATGTATATTTAGGAGATTCAAATAGATTAAAAAAGCTACAGTTTTTAATTTTAAAAAATTCAAAAATTTTTTTTTTTGTCAAATAAGTTTGAAAAGTTAAATAATAAACAATCCTCAAAAAACGGGAATAACTTCCCTTCATACTACTATTCTATGTATTTTTTCATATTTCATTTTGTGAGTCCCAATTTAGGCTCACAATGATAATTTAAACCAATCGTATAATAGAACCAACAATAAAGATGAGTTATGTAAAAAATCAATTTCATTAAACATCACTAGATACATTAAAAAAAAAAAAAAATTACATTTTGTTTTTTTTTTAAATGAATGATAATTTTGAGTTTAAATTTAAACCATCAATTTTATTTATTTTTTTAAAATGTGATTTGTTTATTTATTAATCTATATCTGATAAGGTTTATTTTTTTGTACAAACAATCTCTACAACGACATTTACAAAATGAATTATTTAAATCATCATTGTGATCCTTACAAAATAAAATATGAAAGGAATATGAAAGATAGTAATATGGAGGAGTCATTCCCTCATCAAATACTATTACTTAATTTTTTTAAATTATAAATAAATAAATTGATTTAAAAACCAAACTAGGCATTTGTTAATCTTGCAGACAATCAATAATTGTGGGTTGTCCAACAATGGGCTGGTTTTTGCACCACATGAAAGGCACACAATTGGTTTTGTTTTGTGCTAGATCATCAACACCGATAGTGAAAAATTGATTACTTTTCTTTACCAAATAACTCAATTCAAACAAAGTGCAAGTTATTGACCACACTACTAACACTACTAGACTAGACAAAACAACCAGTAACTACTCTCTTTCTCTCTCTTCACCTTCACACCAAAAACTCATATTCACAAAACCCACCTTCAAACTCCGAGACCGACAACTTCTTCAATTGCATCAATCCAACAAACCCAATACCCTTTAATGCATTCATCTCAGATTTTCATCTAAATGGGTGCTCTTCTCTCACTCTCCAAACGTTCGCTTTCATGCACATCAATGGGGGTTCCTATAGTTGAATTTGACAAGCTGTCGCATTCTCATGTTATCAAATCGGATTGGCCATCTAGTTTTTTTTCTTTTTTCTTTTTGTGGTGAGTTTTCTAATCGATTTGTATGCACAATTGTTTCTTATCAATGATGCAGCATAAGTGTTCGATGAAATTCCTATTATAATAAACACAGTATATGCAATTGCTATTTTGTTGGGTTAACTTATGGTGAGGCTAAATTGTGGGTTGACTTCATCAAATAACACATACCAGCCAAGTGGTTGAAGAGTTAAAAAACAATGAGCTGGTTTTTGTACCCCATGAAAGGCACACAATTGGTTTTCGTGCTAGATCGTCAACACGGGTAGAGAGAAATTGATTTTTTTTTTCCTTCCTCTCCAAATAACTCAATTCAAACAAAGTGTGAGTTGTTGGCCACACTACTAGACAAAACAACCAGTTACTAACTAGGCTGCTGTAATGCAGGACCAAAGACTTCTCACAGCTCAAAAGTGCATAAAATATTCTCAAAAACAAACACTGCTGGGGAAGGAAGAGATGCAGAAAACCCATAAGAGTCAGCTGTGTATGGTCTTGGTAATTGATTCTATAATTAGTGCTCTGACATTAGTATTATAGAACTATTAATCTTTTCTGAATTTTTTATTTTGCATCTGTCCACCCACCCACTATGTCAATCTTGCAGACACTGACAGTGAAAGAAGAAGAAGAAGGTTATGCAGGTCTTTAGTATGGTGTGGGATTTAGACTAGAGAAGGAAAGAGGAAGAAGAGGGATGTTGTTCTGTGGACTTTAATGGTTGGTGCATATGGCCAATTTTAAAAGAAGTGATTAGATTTTACAAAGAAATGTTGATGGGAAATGAATGTGAGAATGGGAGCAGGCAATTGAGGGAGCTGATAAAAAATAAATAAATTAGGTTTGGAGAAAGATGTTGGATGTAGTTTTTTTTTTTTTTTTTTTTTTTTCACTCGTTAAAACTTACCCTAGCTTAAATCACCCCGACTCAAACTCCCAACTTTTATTATTAGGTTGGAAGTTGGAAAGCATACAATGGCGTAAGGTCATGGGTGGGTAGGTCACAAAGTTGAATTGGAGGGCAACTCTATGCAGAATGTGCACTAACTAATTTTGTGAGTACCAAGGGAAGTTGTGAATAAAGGAAGTGATTTATAAATTTAAATCTTATACAAAAAGAACATTTAAAATGATGTGTTAATGACATTTATAAAATTGTAAAAATAATAGTGGGTATTTTGAGTGTAAACGAAGAGATTACACGATGCCAACTCATTATGTATGAGAATTCTGTACAAACTTTCTGCTTGTATATTAAAGATATGAATAATTTGATAGGCATTAATATTTTTATTAAAAATCTTATTTAAAATTATAAAGGGTTTATTACACTTTCTACTCATAAACTATTGTCAAATTGTTTACTTAATCCTTGAACTATCGATTGACCCTATTAAGTCCCTAAAGTATATACATCAAAATCTATTTAGTCCCTAAATTACCGATTGAATCTATTAAGTTCTTAAAATATTTAATTCAAACATATTTAGTCCTTGAAAGGATTACAAAAATAAAATATAAGCTCATAAGTATTATAAATTAATAAAAGACCCAATCTAGTTAAGATTTTATTATAAAAAATTTTTAAATTTCTATTTTATCTTTAAAAAGTGTTTTATTTCGTTGTGTTTAGTATCAATTTTTGGTTTCTTAGTCTTACCAATAAAATTATACAAGTATTAGATATACTGAAGAAATAAAATTAGATAATTTAAATAATAACACTTTGCTATAATTAATAATAGAACAAAATAATACATTAGTTAAGACTTAAAACAACCAATTAGAAATTATAAACAAAATCCGGTATATAATAGTAGATAAAGACAAACAAGTAACTATTATAGAAGATTAGTAAGACAATATTATAGATAATTACCCTTACCCATATAAAGAAAAATTATCCGAAAGAACTGATGTCCACTTTTCAAATACAGAATAAAAATTTAAGATTTTTTGAAATAAAATTTTAACTAGATAGTATCTTTCACTAATTTATAATACTTATGGATTTATATTTTATTTTTGTAATCCTTTTATAGACTAAATTGATTTAAATTAAATATTTTAGGAATTTAATAAATTTAATCGATAGTTTAGAGTAAATCAACTTTGATTTATATATTTTAGGAACTTAAGTAAACTCAATCGATAATTGAGGGACTAAGTAGACCATTTGGTGATAATTTAAAAATAAAAAATGTAATAAACCCAATTATAAAACATTAATGATTAATTATAAAATAATAATAATAACAATATTATTTAAATATCCAATAATATTTGATATAAAAATTTTAATACATACAATATGGTCACATTTTATCGAAGTCAAATTACACAAACAAGACAAGTGGTTCAAAAAAAAAAGAAAAGAAAAAGCTGGTTTTTGTAGCATGCGAAAGGCACGCAATTTGTTTTTGAGCTACAACTAGACAAAAAAACAGCCATCAACTAGGCCAATGTTAATCCTGGACCAAAGACTTCTCCCTAACTCAATAATAGATCATAAAATATTCTCAAAAAACAAGCACCATTGGGGAAATTTTTTTATCTGTGAGCGTTTTGTTCGTATAGCAATACTTAACTAGAATTTATTTTGGTATAATTCTGATACATAAGAAGGATTTATACACAGAAAAATTTATACCACCATGAAAATGTAAATAATTTTTTTTTTTTTTTTTGTATCTTTGACTAATAATTTCCCTATATATATATATATATATATATTAAATTTTGCATCTCAATATTCTCCATCTAGACTTTATAAAAAAAATTAATAAAATTTTTTAATTGCACATCCCTGCCAGGGGTTAAAGAGTTTAAAAACAATGGGCTGGTTTTTGCACCACTTGAAAGGCACATCCTCTCCAAATAACTTAATTCAAACAACGTGCAAGTTGTTGGCTACACTACCAGACAAAACAACCAGGTACTAACTAACTAGGCCACTGTTATGCTGGACCAAAGACTTCTCACAACTCAATAGCATAAAATAATCTAAAGACAAACACTACTGGGGAAGGAAGAGATGCAGTAAAACCCATAAGACAGCTGTTTATGGCCTCGGTAATATATTTTATAATTAGCTCTCTGACATTAGTATTATAAAGTTTATAAACTATATATAATATTTTGATATTTTATAATTTTTTTTTGATTTTTTTATTTTCCCTCTCCCCCACCCACTATGTCAATATGCAAACAGTCAAAAATTGTGGGGCTGTCCACCGCGGGGGCGGACTGTAACCTCGTCATCCATATCCACTGTTCTAATAACAAGTACACCGTGTAAAGAAGCAGGAGAAGAAAGAAGGCTGTGGTGACTATGGCGGAATCTGTAGCTCTATCTTTTGCAACCTTTGTGGTGAAAAGTCTGGGTGGGTTTCTCATCCAGGAAGCGAATAACTTGGGTGGGGTGAGGCCTCAAGTTGAGCAATTGCGACACCAGCTAACTCGGATGCAATGCTTCTTAGAAGTTGCAGATGCAAGACCAAGAGGAGGAGCAAATGAGATTATAATCCGCAACTGCGTTGCTGAGATCAGAGAAGCATCCTATGATGCTGAAGCTGCAATCGCAACTTTTGTTGTCAAAATTGGGAGATCAGATCAGTTCCCTTTCGTTCTCAAGAGGTATTTGTGTATCTTCAAGGAATATTTAGCCCTTCGTGAGGTTAGGTTGGAGATTGAGGCTATTAATACCTGGATCACCAATAGCCTCACAACAGGTTTTCAAACTTGTGCAATACTAAATTCTATGGGAGTTAGAGAAAGTTCATCATCAACTTCTGTGGCTGAGAGGCAGCGACAATTAAGGCGATCCTATACCCATATTGTTGAGGAGGACGTTGTCGGCGTGGAAGAAGATGTAAAAGCAATAGTGGATCTTCTGGTGAAGGAGAATTGTAGAGTTGTTTCTATTTGGGGGATGGGTGGTCTTGGCAAGACCACCCTTGCTAAGACGGTTTACAAACACTTTGAAAATAGCCATCATTTTAAATGTGTTGCCTGGGCCTATATATCTCAACAATGCAATACAAGGGAAGTTCTTAAAGGGATTCTTATCAAACTTCTCTCTCCCTCAGATGAACATAGGAAAGCAATTGGAAGGTTGAATCTTGATGATCTACTCAAGCAACTTCATCAAGTCCAAAGTGAGAAGAAATGTTTGGTGATTCTCGATGACATTTGGCAGGATACGGATTGGGATAGTTTGAGTCCAGGCTTCCCAAATACTACAGAGGTAGGCAGCAAAATATTGCTAACAACTCGCAATGAAAATGTTGCTAAGCATGTAGATCAACAATGCGTGCTTTATAAATTGAGGCACTTAACAGAAAAGGAGAGTTGGGAGCTGTTTGAGAAGAAAATATTTCTGAGAAGAAATGAAGGTACCGGTAATTATTAACCTCCTACTTGATCTAATTAATTATTTGTGCTTTTAAAGTTTCAAATGTCTTTCTTAAACTTCTTTCCTTTCAGATTTGAATTCTTTCAATTTGACAATTGAATTTGAGAGAATAGTTTGGTTTTGATGGCTCATTTTGGACCAACTTCGGTAAATTTAAATTGTTCATTTTTTTTAGAATTTATTAGGTAGAATATTCATGCAAAAATTTAATATAATCAGATATCAATAGCTATATTTTTAAGTCATATTTGTATTACCAAAAATTGATGCTATTTTCGAAAATATATTTGTTGTCTATTTTTCATAACAAATGTGACATATAACTATTGATGTCTAATCATCATATCTTTTACAAGATTATTCTAGTCAATGAATCTTAAAAATTGAACAGTTTGAATCACCGAAATTAGTTCCAAAATGATTGATTAAGTCCAACTCCTCTCTCAAGTTGGATGACCAACTTAATAATTATGTAGGCAAATTGTCTAGTTTTTAAGAATAATTTTCAGTGAAATTAAAAATTAGTGAGAAGTAAAAAATAATTAAAAAGTTATTAGGTGCAAGTGAATACCAATAAGAGATATGTCCCTGCCACAACTATACAAACTCATTTACAGCACTGTGAATTTTTTATTATTTATCTCATTTTCTTCCACTAACCTCCGTTAACAGCATTTGTAAATTTTTCTACACACACTAATCTACTTCCTCTAAACCTATATATATATATATATATATACACTAGTTTAAGAAGGCCCATATAAAATACGGGCTATTATTATAACATATTAAAAATTTTATATTTTGTTAATTTTTTAAAAATTAGAATATTAGTTTGTGAAATTGAATAAAATAAATTATTAGATATATAATAGAATTATGTGATATGATATGTATTATTTTTTGATTTGTTATACAACCAATGATGTAGACTCCAATTTTATTACCATAACATTTTATGTGAATTTGTGAGTCTTTAACATTTCTTCTGAATTTATAAATAAAATAAAATAAATATATGATGTGTAGCTTTTCTCAACAAATAAATATAAAACAAATACTAAGATAATTCTCCTATCTAAAAAAAACTATTAAGATAATTCACTGAACTAATAAAGAAGCAAAAAAAAAAAAAATAGATATATATATATATACAAATAACTAATTTTATTAATACATAAATCATTCTCGCATAACGAATGACCATATTTATTAATAAGTAAATCATTAAGTAAATTGACAATTTGTAACGATATGAAAAATATTTTTCAGTTAACTATTTTGTTAATAAATAAATCGTTAAGTCAATTAATAGTTTTTAATTATATGAGAAATAATTTTCAATAAACAATTTCGATAATTTATTATTGCATACGAGAATTGGTTTTTTTTTTTTTTTTACTGAGTATTGTGTTAAATAAAAATTTATAACAAATGGTTCTAGTATTATAAGACCAATTTTTATTTTAAACAAACCTTATAGGTATATTTGTAATTTGTCAAAAAATAAAAAGATTTATGTTTCATAATTGACTAAGAATATTTGTGCAATTACGAAAAAAACCTTTACTAAACATATAGGCCACCACTAGTGAATTATTCAAAATGAAAGACAAAATCGGAAAGAAAAGATTAACCTCAAACAGCTAAGCAGTTCTTATATATATACTAGTTACAAAGGCCTGGGCAAGGCACAGGCTACTATTACAGTATATTTAAGTTTTGTATTTTAATAATGTTTAAAAATAAGAATATGATTTTATGAAATTAGATAGAATACATCATTAGATATATGATAAAATTATATAAATTATATTATAAATAATACCAATTAGAAAAAATATAGTAAATCCTATCGTTTTAACATAATTATGTTCTTTTCTTTTTCAGTAAGACTAAGTGTGAAGACATAAAGATAAACAAAATAAAGTATACATTTTAGTATAAATGAGATAAGATAATTCCCCATCTAAAAAAAACTGAACTAATAAAGAAGCAGAAGATAATACATATATATACAAATGATCAATTTTATTAATAAATATATCCTTAAGTCAATTAACATTTTTTAATGTTATGAAAATATCTTTTAGTTAACTATTTTGTTAATAAATAAAACATTAAGTCAATTAACAGTTTTTAATGATATAAGAAATATTTTTCAACGAACAATTTTGATAATTTATTATTGTGTAGGAGAGTTGTTTTTTTTTTTATCTGATTATTTGGTTAAATTAAAATTTATAACAAATAATAGTTATAATTTGTATTATTATAGGACTAATTCATATTTTAAACAAATATTATGAGTGTATTTTTAATTTGTTAAAAAATAAAAAATTATGTTTTACAATTGACCAAAATGTTTGCATATTTATGAGAAAATCTTCATTCAAATTGTTATACCATTAGTAAATTATACAAAATAAAAGGGCAAAATAAGAAATTCCCAAACAAGCTAAAGGCAAAATAGGCAGTCCAAAACAAACCTTCCCAACCAAAGCAACCCAAATGGGAAAATTATATTTTCACACACTTAATTAGCTCAGTACACATCTTTTCTCAATACACATTCTTATTAATTTGATTATTAACTAATTTTCTCAATCTACACACTTAGGCCTTGTTTGTCATAACCTAAAAAAGTCAAAAAGTCACTATCATATTTAAGTTATATCATCTTATTTAAGTCACATCACCTCTCTATCACATCGCTTCAAACCCAACCCATACCTAACCCATATTTCATGAAAAATAAAAAAGGTACACTTATTTAGTTCATCCCAAACAACCCCTTAAAATTACAATTGCACTATTCACTTATAACCATTGTACACACACCACTTTACCCTCCTTCCACACACTTTTATTGACCCTACTTCACATTTGTAGTTCCACCTACACAAAAGTGAAGTCCAAAGTCAGTGAAGTTTTCTCCATTGAAGACTTTTATTGAACCTCCATTGAAAACCCTTCTTGAAGGTAAGGAATTTTATCATTTTATTATTACATTTACTATTTTCGAATCTCGTGGCATTAAACCCTTGACCAAACAATCACTAAACAACCACCAAATAATCAAAAGAACAAAAACACTTTAAATCCCGAGCACAGGTTCATACCCAAAAGAATAAGCAACCATTAGCATTGCAATAGAGGAGTTTTGAGAATATTATTTTGCAAGTAATAGAGGCGTATAGAATGTAACAAGCAATGTGACAACAATGGACAAATTAGGATTTATTTTTTTAACTCAAAAGGTGTATATTGAGATCTTTTTGTTCTTGAAAGATGTGTATAGAGAATTTTTTAATATAATATTATAGATATTAGATGTCTATTATGGTCATTTTTATTTAGAATATAATTGTCATCAAAATTAATATTTCATTAAGTGTGTATCTTGAGCTAACTAGATGTGTGGAAATAGAATTTCCCACCAAAATGTCTTACATAATTTCCAAGATGCCACCACTCAAATTGTTTCACCAACCAACTAAAGGGCAAAATAGCAATTCCAAAGTAAGCTAAGGGCAAAATAGGAAAAGAAATGACAAGCCATAGAAAAAAAGAGCTTATTATATATGTATATATACATACACATATCACTTCTAAATAGAAAATAGAGGAGAAAATGTGCCGAGATAGCCTCTCTTGTACGAACATTTTTAATCCTTTATTTTTTTTTCCATCAAATTTAATAGCGTTTAATCTCTACTCATTTCATCAATTGTTCATCAAATTAAGGGAAAATAATTTTTTTATCAAATTAAAAACTCATCAAATCCTTAATCAAATTTAAATTTGATTAAAATTTAGAACAATAAAGCATTGGGGGTGATTTTTTTTTTTCCATCAAATTTGATGAAAATAAAATTTTGGAATAAGATGGGAATTTTTATAAAGATTTTAATGAAAGAAAAGGAATAATTCATATAAAATCATTCTTTTTGCTCGAATTTAAAATCAAATTAGATGAAAAAAACTAGTGAACGATTGGAGATGCTCTATGTGTTAGAAAACTTTTAACATATGCAAAAATTAGATCGACAAAGATGATTAGTTATGTAATAATAAACTAGGATAGACGACAATTTTAGTCCTTAAAGTATGCATTCTTTGTCATTTGAGTCCCTTAAGTTTTAATTTTGTCATTTTGGTCCTCAAAGTTGTCAATTTGGTCTTGGATTTAACGTCCATTAATAGAAATATGAATAAAAGACAGTTTTGATCCCGGAAGTATGCATTTCTTGTCATTTTAGTCTCTCAAGTTTTAAATTTTGTCATTTTGGTCTTTAAAGTTGTCAATTTGAATTAATTTGGTCCTAGCTCAAATTGACAACTTTGAGGACCAAAATGACAATTTAAAATTTGAGAGATTAAAATGAAAATAAATGCATACTTTAGGGACAAAACTGTCTTTTATTCATATTTTTGTTGACGGACGTTAAACCTTGGACTAAATTGACTCAAATTGACAATTTTAAGGACTACAATGACAAAATTAAAACTTAATGGATTAAAATGAAAAACAATGCATATTTTAGAGACTAAAACTGTCTTTTATCCAATAAAGTAACTAGAACAAAACAAACCATATATACCTTGGGCCATGCAATTATGGTAGAATTCAAGAATAACTAAGGCCCTACTTGATTAGCAAGATTAATAGTGAAATGATTAATAATTTTGCGAATTAGTATAGGATTAGTTATCCAATTAAATTAGTGAGATAACTATTTATTAATATTCATTTTGATTTTCTTATTTCATACTTGAAATTATGATCCCTGCGCCCTCTCAATATTAAAAATTCGCTAATTTTCTTGAATTGAATGTCTATCAACATGTAATCCAGTTAATAAAATTTGTAATAAAAAATGAGATTGTGAGTTTATAAATTAACAATCCTAACCCTATGCTATTATTTACTAATGAAACATGGCCACCAACTAATTATTACTAATCCCTACACCAAAAACTTTAATCTTTACACCAATAAATATGGCGTAAATTCAAAGTATCTCTCTCTTCATTCACGCTATTATGTTTGTTTTCTCTTAGGATCTATACACACAATTAGTGTATGAACGGATGAAGTGGCATAATTTTATTGGCTTTGAGTCTTTGTAGCTTGTATAATAGGTGGGGTCCATAATTTTGAAGTTGCAATGCTATAGTATGTGTTAGTACACTAATTAATGTAGTAATTGGTGTGTGTAGTACCACTGTTATCCCAGTGATACGATGGCAAGCTTCTAGGGAAATTGTGTGTTGTATGTGAATGGAGAGAGGGACCTTGAATACTATTTAATAACGTGATATTATTTTTTCTTTAATTAATTAAGATAAAGTGTATAATGCTTATTGTACTAATTAAGATCTGATAAATTGTAAAAGTTTAGGGTTTATATTGAAACAATTAAAAAGTTAAGGTTTGATTTGTTACAGAGGTCAAATCTTGGGATTTTGTTGTTGTTGTTGTTGTTATAATTTCTTCTATATATAGTAAGAGGTCACAATGTGCATCTCAAAATGGTGCATATGGTATCTTCTTTATAAATTTTCTCACCACAAAATATCATTAAAAATCAAAAGTCATAACTTCACCATTAATAACTTTAATATGCACAACATAAATTCACTATTGGTAACACATTACAAATATTCATTAATTTCATCGCATAAAATTGTAACTTTTTTACGATGCACACCTATGTCCTTAGGGATGCACACTCTAAATCTGTCTAGATAACAAATATAATATATGAAAACAACTTATGTTACAATATTTTGTTAAAAATTAGGACAGTAAAAGAGAAGCTACTTAATCTCAATTCGTGTTCAACTTGTTCAAAGTTTGTTTGAGATTGGTTTGTTAAAAGTTGGTATTATTTTCATTTTTTATGTAAGGTTTAAAATTTTGAGAATTTTCTCAAAATCAATTTTAAAAATAGTTCCACTCAATGCATTTTTGTGTATCATTTATTTTTTTTTTATTATTTTTTTTTTCCAGTTTTGGGAACAAAGAATTTTAGCCTAGACACAATGTTAGTGGACCTTACGTCAAGTGATGAAACTTACATATAATTTTTGTATTGTAATTAATAAATTCGTTGGTATATTTATTGGTATTCTTAGCATTATTGTTTTTAATATAAATACACATTGCTATTTTTTATTTATATCAATACCGCCCATATAGACTAGTACAAACTTACCAACAGATACATTTTTTTCCCCTTTAATTTTGCAGGATTCGCATTAAACACAGAAATGATTGAGTTAGGAAAGGCAATGGTCAAACATTGTGGTGGTGTACCATTGGCCATTGTGGTATTAGGAGGACTTTTGGCAACAACAGACGCACCGAACGACTGGAAAAGGGTGAGTGAAAACATTAGTTATGACTTAGGTAATGGCAGAGGCCGAGCAGGAGTCCCAATAACAGAAATTTTAGCCATAAGCTACCAAGACTTGCCTTACCATCTTAAGGCATGTTTTTTGTATTTGAGCCATCTTCCTGAAGATCATGATATTCGTGCAAAAAAACTGATTCAAATGTGGATGGCTGAAGGCATTGTGTCGCCGTCATCGATACCCACACAAGTAGAAGTAAAAGAGAAAACAATGTTGGATGTTGGAATGAGTTACTTGGGTGAGTTAGTCCAAAGATGCATGGTTCAAGTCCAATTAACAAGCTTCAGAAAAAGGATCAAACTTTGTCGCCTCCACGATCTCATGAGAGACTTGTGCTTGTTGAAGGCCAAAGAGGAGAATTTTCTCGAGATTGTTTGCATTAAAGCCTTTGGTCATCAGCTCGCGTGGGCAGACTCTACGCCGCCTTCTTCATCATCACCATTAACAACAATTCATAGACTTGCTGTGTACTATTTGAATGACTGTGATGCCAACTCTATAGAAAGTGAAAATGTTATTCCCCTATCTGGACATGAAATGAAGAATCACAACCATATCCGATCATGCCAATTTTACTCTTTTGGCCATAAATTGGAAAGTTCTGGTTGGCAAAAATTAAAATTACTCTTGAAGGGTCTCACATTGCTTACCGTTTTAGACCTTGAAAGAATTATTATACCTGGGGGAAGAAAGAAGTTTCCGAGAGCAATAGGAAACCTAATTTACCTGAGGTATTTAAGTGTAAGAGATTCTGATATTAAAAGTTTGCCTTCCTCTATAGGCAACTTGGGATTCCTTCAAACCCTAGATTTAAGGGTACGGTGGTGTTTAATAAGAATACCCAATGTCTTGTGGAGGTTGAAAAAATTGAGACATCTATATCTTCCTGGAGGAATCAAGCTGTCTTGCATAGGTAAGTTGCGATTGGATGGTTTAAGCAAATTGGAGACGCTAAAAAACTTTGATGCAAGGAAGTGTGATGTCAGATGCTTATCTAAACTGATAAATCTTCGAAAATTCAGTGTTGAGGTAGCCCCCAAAGATTTGGTCGTGATGTTGAAATCCCCAATCCTCAACAATTCAAACCGCCTTCTCCAATATTCATCCTTCAGCATTAGAGGAGATTTCCGAACGGAAGAAGAACAAAGCCTTTTAAGGCAACTTTTAGGATGCCAACATCTTCGCCAATTGTATCTAGAACATGGGTCCCTGAATCAGGCTAATAAATTGCCAGATCAATTCCCTCCAAATCTCACCAAGTTATGGTTGAGGCATACTAAACTAGAGGAAGACCCAATGCCAACATTGGAGAAGTTCCCCAACTTAAGGACTCTCTGCTTATTAAAGGATTCCTACATTGGGAAGGCGATGGTTTGTTCTTCTGGACCATCCAGCATCAGCGGTGGAGGAGGAGGAGGGGGCTATGGCGGCTGTGATGGTGGAGGTTTTCCGAAACTCATATCTTTAGAGCTCTGGAATATTGAAAACTTGGAGGAGTGGAGGGTGGAACAAGGAGCCATGCCTTGTCTCTTCCATTTACAGATTGGTGGATGCCGAAAATTGAAGGAGATTCCGGACGGATTGAGGTTCATTACCACCCTCCGTGAATTGGATATTAAATACTCATCTGAAGCACTCAGAGACAGGGTTAGAGAAGGAGGAGAGGACTTCTACAAATTCAAGGACGTGCCTTCCATCATATTATAATAAGAATTGACGACTGAGCTTTCTTGGATCTTCCTACATTTACATCAGGTTGGTTGGTTGGTCCATGCTTTAGTTTCTTTCCCCTCTCTTTTCTTTCCTTTCCTTTCTTTCTTTTTGTTTAGGGTTAATTTCACTTTTATCTCTAAACTATCAACATTTTTTAATTTTTTATTTCTTCTCTAAGCTATCAATTTCGTCTATTTAATCCATTAAATTTCTAATTTTTGTTCATGTAGTCTAATTGTAAAAATCAATAACCATTGAAAAAAAAAAGAAGGTAATTTTATAATTTAAACAACTTAAATCATACAATTAAGCACCCATTAAGTTGGTTGTAGGTTGTAATTTATTCAAAATAATAAGAAAAGTTAGTGTTTTGTTGTATGTTTTAAGATGTTCAAATTCTCAAATAACATTTTTTTTAATCAAATTAAGTTTTAACAATTATTTATTTGTGTAATTGTCTCCAATTGGACTACAAAAACATAAATTCAAAACTTTAGGAACTAAATAGACGAAAATGATAGTTTATGAATGAAATAGAAAAAAAATGGTGATATTTGTGACTTCAATGATTCGAGGCCATGTCAAAATGAATTTTTCAGAGTATTTGATTTTAATTTTCTAAATTTAATTTTATAGAAATAAGTTTTTTGTTTTTCGTGTTTTTTTTTAATGAATATTTTTAAAATTTTAAGCAATTTTTTTATATGCACCTTACTTAAATGTATCTAAAAAGTAAAATATTTATAAAAAAATATTTTAAAAAATAATAAATACACAAGAATACCAAAATGTACTGAATTTTGGTATTTATTTATTTTTGTATTTTTGGTATTTACTGAATTTTGTAAAGATTTTTTTCACAAATATTATATTTTTTAAGAATATTTATGTTAAGTGTATCTAAAATTTTTAAAAAAAAATTGCTTAAAATATTAAAAAAATTCAGTAAAAACAAAAAATTTTAATTTTCTGAAAAATGAATCATGAGTTATGAAATCAAACAAGCTTACTTGGTTCAAAAATTCTTATGATGTTCTCAGAGTGGTCACTGTTGCAATCTCATGGCTCAATTGGTGTTGGAGAAATATGATCTTATGCAACTTAAGTAACTCGTTTTATATTTGCATACAACACACGAAGCAATTCTCCTTTGTTGTTTGTGTGTGTGCAGGATAAAAAATTTTCTAGTATTGTTTATGAATCTAATAACATGTCTTTGTTCATAGAATGGAGATATTAGAGAATTAGTATGTGAAATCTTGTGCTTAGCTACTATCACCACTTCTTGAAAAACATAAATAATTATTCATACTCCAACGTTTACAAGGCATCCTTGCAGAGAAAATTAAGTTTCTCATTTTTTTCCCTTCCCGGTTGCTCAAAGGGTACAATAGTTGGGTGTGGACAAAAAACAAAACTAAAGAATCAACCCTTTCCCTTTCAAAAATCAACCTACTACTCTTCAAATGCATAAGAACCCACTTGGAAACTTGATTTTATGACAATCTTCAAAATGCAGAGAAGCTTGTGGACTGATTTTGATTTGTTGAAGTTAAACATATTCAACTAGCTTTCACTTATTGTTACAGTGATAATTGCAGATTCTAAACAAGTCAAGAATTGTATCAAGAGCAGTTTCACAATTGAACTTTAAATCACATATTCCGATGAATTTAGTACAAGAAAATTACACATTTGCCTTGCTTTAGCTTTTTACTGACTTTAGTGCAAGCAAATTCTGAAACTATCATTAAAACGACTTGAATTCTACTGTAGTTAATCCTGTTGGCCAATCCTCCGTTGATTCAAATTGTTTATATTATAGAGTTCGATGCGTAGATCATTTATGGAGAAAATTGAATTTATTGAATATCTATAAACTCAAAATAAAATCACATTTTGTTTTCAAAAAAAAATAAAAATCATTAGAATAATTTTGATCATTTATTTTAAAACAGTTAAGTTTTGATCATGGGGTTTCACATGCCCGATTAACTTGATTTTTTGTGTGAATAATATGTTCAATAAATTTTATAATATGAACAGTTTGAATTATCAAAAGAAATTTGAGACAATGCTTCACAAGAGAGCACAGCAGATCCCAAATCAGCAATCCTTCACTTGTTCAGCGGAAGGCATTATAATGTTTTGTTTATATCAACTAAAATTAAATAAAATTGATATTTTAGAAGTTGTTCATTTTAAAATTATTAATCTTTTTAAATTGTATATCTCATCTTTTATTTGGATTAGTCTGAAGTTATGACGAGTGATTGTGTATTTTGATATTTAAATCTGTAACTCCAACCTCATTATTTCTCATTTTGTATTCTACTTCTTTTCGTGAGACTAATTAGTGTGTTTGATTTTAATTTTTTTTAAATTAAAATTTTTATTTTTTTTTAATGAATATTTTTAAAACTTTAAGTATTTTTTTTTTTAAATTTAGATACACATTACTTAGATGTGTCTAAAAAATAAAATATTTATGAAAAAAATATTTTAAAAAATACACAATAATATAAAAAATATATACTGAATTTTTATATTTTTTAATATTTTTGGTATTTAAAAAAAATTCACAAATATTATACTTTTTAAGAATATTTATGTTAAGTGTATCTAAAAATTAAAAAAAAAAATTGCTTAAAATATTAAAAAAATTCAGTAAAAACAAAAAATTTTAATTTTCTAAAAAATGAATCCTGAGTTATGAAATCAAACTAGCTTACTTGGTTCAAAAATTCTTATGATGTTCTCAGAGTGGCCACTGTTGCAATCTCATGGCTCAATTGGTGTTGGAGAAATATGATCTTATGCAACTTAAGTAACTCGTTTTATGTTTGCATACAACACATGAAGCAATTCTCCTATGTTGTTTGTGTGTGCAGGATACAAAATTTTCTAGTATTGTTTATGAATCTAATAACATGTCCTTGTTCATAGAATGGAGATATTAGAAAATTAGTATGTGAAATCTTGTTCTTAGCTACTATCACCACTTCTTGAAAAACATAAATAATAATCATACTCCAACGTTTACAAGGCATCCTTGTAGAGAAAATTAAGTTTCTCATTTTTTTTTTTTCCTTCCTGGTTGCCCAAAGGGTACAATGGCTAGGTGTGGACAAAAGACAGAACTAAAGAATCAACCTTTTCCCTTTCAAAAATCAACCTACTACTCTTCAATGCATAAGAACCCACTTGGAAACTTGATTTTATGACAATCTTCAAAATGCAGAAAAGCTTGTGGACTGATTTTGATTTGCTGAAGTTAAACATATTCAACTAGCTTTCACTTATTGTTATAGTGATAATTGCAGATTTTAAACGATTCAAGAATAGTATCAAGAGCAATTTCACAGTTGAACTTTAAATCACATATTCCAATGAATTTAGTACAAGAAAATCCCACCTTTGCCTTGTTTTAGCTTTCCAATGACTTTTGTGCTAGCAAATTCTGAAACTATCATTAAAATGACCTGAATTCTACTATAGTTAATCCTGTTGGCCAATCCTCATTTATTGTTTGAATATGCAAAATGAATTGTCGCTTGCTTCTCCTATTAGTCCTGGGAACATCAAAGTGGGAAGGCCATATGATATGCAATCTCTGCTGTAGTTTTGCAAGTAAATGATGATTTGTTCACTTGGTTCAGCATTCCATAGACTTCATGAAAAAACCAATGTTCAAATAGTCTACATATCTAGACATTTTATTTTAATGGCATTGTCCATTCGCCAAACTTTTAGATGTTTGAACGAATTTTAAATCCAAATTTTATGATTGTTCTGTGCACAGGCCTTGTGCTCCACTATTGGCATCTGTTTCTGCTCTTAAATGGGCTCATAAGCACAATTTTTTGCATATTAATATTGTTACTAACTCTGACTCTATTTCAGCAAATGAAGGGCAGTAAATATATCCAAGTGGTGGCAACTCCATTGTTTTTAGATTGTTGTTATCTCGCACAATCTTTTCATTTATGCCAATTATCTCTACGGCCATGGAGTTTGCTCACAGCAGCCTTTTCCTTAGCCTGGTTTGCAGCATTTTCTTTCGTCTCTTCTTCTCATGAAGAGGCCTACTTGACAACCTCTAGTCAATCTACCGTTAGCTTCACGTCTGTTCTCAATTAAGGTCTATATGTTACCTCTGGTGGTTTTTTTTTTTTTTTTTTTTTCTTGAGTGTTTGTAAGGCTTATTCAAGTTATTGGTGGTTGTTTCCTGAACTATGTTACTTTTTATATGTATTAATGAATGATGTTCATTTCTTGTGCCAAAAATAAAAAATAAAAAAATATTCAATACTGTGGAATCCTATGTTTGGTGGTGTCATAACACACCTAACACTTTTTGCCATTGTGTTTATTTGATCTCAGTTCTCAATAGTTAAATATGTAACACAGCTAGATTATGGGCTGCTCAACGAATATAGGAGTTGTATTCATCATGATAAGTCCTTACTATTTAGTCTTCAATCCAAATAGTCAATAGTACATTGTAGCCCAGAGACAGATGAAATGTTGATGGGAAATGAATGTGAGAATGGGAGCAGGCAATTGAGGGAGCTGATAAAAAATAAATAAATTAGGTTTGGAGAAAGATGTTGGATGCAGTTTTTTTTTTTTTTCACTTGTTAAAACTTACCCTAGCTTAAATCACCCCGACTCAAACTCCCAACTTTTATTATTGGGTTGGAAGTAGGAAAGCATACAATGGCGTAAGGTCATGGGTGGGTAGGTCACGAAGTTGAATTGGAGGGCAACTCTATGCAGAATGCGCACTAACTAATTTTGTGAGTACCAAGGGAAGTTGTGAATAAAGGAAGTGATTTATAAATATAAATCTTATACAAAAAGAACATCTAAAATGATGTGTTAATGATATTTATAAAATTGTAAAAATAATATTAGGTATTTTGAGTGTAAACGAAGAGATTACACGATGTCAACTCATTATGTATGAGAATTCTGTACAAACTTTCTGCTTGTATATTAAAGATATGAATAATTTGATAGGCATTAATATTTTTATTAAAAATCTTATTTAAAATTATAAAGGGTTTATTACACTTTCTCCTCATAAACTATTGTCAAATTGTTTACTTAATCCTTGAACTATTGATTGACCCTATTAAGTCCCTAAAGTATATACATCAAAATCTATTTAGTCCCTAAATTACAGATTGAATCTATTAAGTTCTTAAAATATTTAATTCAAACATATTTAGTCCTTGAAAGGATTACAAAAACAAAATATAAGCTCATAAGTATTATAAATTAATAAAAGACCCAATCTAGTTAAGATTTTATTATAAAAAAATTTTAAATTTGTATTTTATCTTTAAAAAGTGTTTTATTTCGTTGTGTTTAGTATCAATTTTTGGTTTCTTAGTCTTACCAATAAAATTATACAAGTATTAGATATACTGAAGAAATAAAATTAGATAATTTAAATAATAACACTTTGCTATAATTAATAATAGAACAAAATAATACATTAGTTAAGACTTAAAGACAACCAATTAGAAATTATAAACGAAATCCGGTATATAATAGTAGATAGAGACAAACAAGTACCTATTATAGAAGATTAGTAAGACAATATTATAGATAATTACCCTTACCCATATAAAGAAAATTTATCGAAAGAACTGATGTCCACTTTTCAAATACAGAATAAAAATTTAAGATTTTTTGAAATAAAATTTTAACTAGATAGTGTCTTTTACTAATTTATAATACTTATGGATTTATATTTTATTTTTGTAATCCTTTTATAGACTAAATTGATTTAAATTAAATATTTTAGGAATTTAATAAATTTAATCGATAGTTTAGAGTAAATCAACTTTGATTTATATATTTTAGGAACTTAGTAAATTCAATCGATAATTGAGGGACTAAGTAGACCATTTGGTGATAATTTAAAAATAAAAAATATAATAAACCCAATTATAAAACATTAATGATTAATTATAAAATAATAATAATAATATTATTATTATTATTTAAATATCCAATAATATTTGATATAAAAATTTTAATACATACAATATGGTCACATTTTATCGAAGTCAAATTACACAAACAAGACAAGTGGTTAAAAAAAAAAAAAAAAGCTGGTTTTTGTACCATGTGAAAGGCACACAATTTGTTTTTGAGGTACAACTAGACAAAACAAACAGCCATCAACTAGGCCAATGTTAATCCTGGACCTCGCTAACTCAATAATGGATCATAAAATATTCTCAAAAAACAAGCACCATTGGGGAAATTTTTTTTATCTATGAGCGTTTTGTTCGTATAGCATTACTTAACTGGAATTTATTTTGGTATAACTCTGATACATAAGAAGGATTTTTACACAGACAAATTTATACCACCGTGAAAATGTAAATAATTTTTTTTTTTTTTTTTTTTTCAGCATATTGCATCTTTGACTAATAATTTCCCTCTCTATATATATATATATATTAAATTTTTCATCTCAATATTCTCCATCTACACTTTATAAAAAAAATTAACAAAATTTTTTAATTGCACGTGCCCGCCAGGCAAGTGGTTAAAGAGTTTAAAAACAATGGGCTGGTTTTCACACCACTTGGAAGGCACATCCTCTCCAAATAACTCAATTCAAACAAGGTGCAAGTTGTTGGCTACACTACCAGACCAAACAACCAGGTACTAACTAACTAGGCCACTGTTATGCTGGACCAAAGACTTCTCACAACTCAATATCTAATTTTGAGAAGATGGTTATAATTAATTTTTTAATGAAAAGTTACTTATAAACAATTTATAAGTAATTTTTTTGTGAGAGAAAAAGTGGGTTATAATCTGAAAAGTGGATTATAACCCACTTTCCAAAATAGGCCAATATCTTAAAATAATCTAAAGACAAACACTACTGGGAAAGGAAGAGATGTAGCAAAACCCATCAGACAGCTGTGTATCGGTAATATATTTTATAATTAGTTCTCTGACATTAGTATTATAAAGCAGTAATGATAGAGACCACTAAAAAATCTCATCACTAATAGCCCTAATGAGTTGAAAAATATAAAAATAAAAGAAAAAAGAAAAACACAAGAGACAACCATTACATCAAAGGGAGAGCCACCTCATTAGTGCTCCCTTTTTAGTGCTTCCAAGCATTAATCATGGTGTTTGGGAAGTTTGCAACTTGGGTTTTTTTTGATTTTTTTTTACAAAAAGACAAATTTTTTGTAAAATTAAAAAAAATATATCCAAACAAAACCAGCACTGTTAGGTATCATGAAAAATCTTTTATGATAATAATCATGAAAGCCTTGTGATCCTTGGATTACATTTAGAATAAAACACCACACACTAATCAAGGTAATTCAATGATCATAAATCTTTCATGATCATTTTCATGAAAAAAATTTCATAATCCCTAACTTTTCTCAAACAAAGCCTCCGTTTGGGAAGTGGGTTGGCTTTTTGGCTTTTTTGGCTATTTTAGCCTGGGGCTAAAAAGCCTGGTTTGGGAAGGACTTTTTGGCCTTTTTTTGGCTTTTTGGTGAGGTGTCATCTTGTTAAATGACCAAATTGCCCTTTTCCATTTTTTTTATTTTTTAATTTGGGTTTGGATTTGGCATTATTTCCCTTTTTTTTTTTTTTTTTTCTTTTTTTTTTTTTTCAATTTTGGCTTTTTGGTGAAATTTTTTTTTTTGATTTGGCATATTTTGGTTATTTTTTTATTTTAATTTTTTTATGTTATCTTTCGATTTCGCGTATTTTGCTAAATTTTTTTTTTTGGGGGGGTTTGGGTTTGGCTTTTTTTGTTTTTTTTGTGTTTTTTTTTTTTTGTATATTGGGTGTCGATCTGCCGACTTTTGCTTGATTTGTTTATTTATTTATTTATTTATTTTGGGTTTGAATTTGCCATATTTTGGTTCTTCTTTTTATTTTAATTTTTTTATGTTGGGGTTTCGATTTTGCCTTTTTTTTGTTTTTTTGTATTTTTTGGGGTTTCGCTTTGGCATTTTTTGCTTTATGTTTTTTGTTGACAATTTTTGTATGTTGGGTTTCGATCTCCTGGATTTTGCAAATCCAAATTTTTTATTTTTTATTTTTATTTTTATTTTTTGAGTTTGGCGGATTTTGCGTTAAATTTTTTTTTTGTTTGAATTTTTTTTATTTTGCGTCTGGATTTTTCGTATTTTGCTTAATTTTTTTTCCTGTTACTTTTTTTAATTTTGGGTTTGGATTTGGGGTATTGTGCTTAAATTTTTCGATTTTTATTTGGGAATTTATGTTTTTGTCTTTTTAATTTTTTTTTTTGTACTATAACTATGTTTTTTTTTTGTCTTGGATTTTTATTTTTAACTATGTCTTGTTTTTTTTAATTGGTATACAATAACTTTTTTTTAATATATTTATGTGTTTCATTTATTTGTAATTTACGTCGCACATGACAATTTGTGTATTAGTTTTCTTTTTCATTTGTTTTTATTTGTTTCACCTTTTTTTGTTTTTCCCAAAGCAAAATTCGTATGGATTGTTGTTTTTTAAAGTTAGGCACGTCAGCAACTGGAAGGGATTACATTCCCGTGGAAACTCATACATATTGTACATGATAATATATTTGAATACAGTCTGTTCCACGTGTGTCATTATGTGACAACCATACGAAAATTATTTCGACTACTATATATTTCCTAGCATTTCGTTATTACGCATGTAACATAATTTGTCGCGTATGTGAAGGCGGACCAATGACATATGGGGGTCCTCATCTCCAACCATTAAACCATCCTCGTCATGTTCAACTTCTGGTATGGCATTTACTATTGTCATAGCTTCTTCCTCGTCATAGATTGGCTGAACAGTTGTTGGGTTACCTATGTTTCGCTGTATATAATTATGTAATGCTATTGACGCACCTACTAACTGAACTTGCACATTTGCAAAGTCATACCGAGGCATATCTCGAATAAACCCCCATTGATTTTTTCAGGCACCGAAAGTGCGTTCCACCACACTGCGTAAGGACGAGTGCACTTTGTTAAATAATTCCCTTGGCATGTTTGCCATCGCGTTCCGTGCAATACGTCGAAATTCTTGTTGGTGGTAATGGTGGCCTTTGAATGGTGCTAAGTAACCAATCCGGTTTGCATAGCCAGAATCGACAAGATAATATTTGCCTGCAGACATGACAATAATGTATGACACCAAAACGAACATTCTGCGTCATTTTCATATAACGCTTTCTCAGGAAAAAAGTATTTGTTAATAAATCTAATAACATGACCATGTGTTACCTTCGTCAAGATGTGGAAAGGGGACATTGTCATTTGTTAGTATCTCGTTGAATATGCGACTATCACGCATACTTCCTTCCCATCCGCAAGAAATGAATATGAAACACATGTCAAAATCGACAGCGGCCATTATATTTTGCGTGTGACAGTATTTCCTACCGAAATATGTTGCTGCATCTGGCCCCGTAACCCATGCACTGACATGTGTTCCGTCTATTGCGCCAATGTAGTTCTGCAAACATGGATAAATTGTTTTGTTGCGTAAATTGGTAACAAGTGTTTCGTTTTTGCCAAGCGTTGTGCAGTTAATAACAAAAACAAAATATATTATCTTGATTTATATGTCAATCATGTTTTTCAGAAGTACCTTGAACGGTAGGTATTTTCGTCTAGGCCGCACGTATGGATGTATACGATGCTGACTGTATGTGGGCCGGCAATGAACAACAGTGAACTCTTTCATGGAAGTTAATACGTTATGCACGTGCCTTGACACAGTCTCCCCGGAATGTTGGAACCGTTCTTGGATTTCCCGATTTTGCTCCCCTTTCAACACATGGATAAACATCGCAACGCTTTCTTCAACAGCTAAGCCATGGGGACGTTGCGGGACTTGTAACCCAAAATCATTGACTAATGTCTCACACAATGCGGCAAAAACTTCCTTCGGCATGCAAACATTTTCCTCAAATCGACCCATATGCCCCGCATATAGTTCGCATATCCATGTATTCCCGGTTAGTATAGAAGTGCGACACGGCGTTTTATTCATGTGTTTTTCGTACCATTCTGTCGCCAATTGGCATGCTTGTAGAAATGTGCAGTTCTGTTCTTGTTGCACCTGGACCGCCATTTGATTAAGCATTTCCGTTATTTCATCATGGTTGCTTCCATCCCAGGGATTCATCGCGTCTTCGTTGATGCGAAACCTACAAGAGTGTCAGCCTTTCAATCAGTTGGCACGTGATTCATTGACTTAAATTTTATTGAAGTTTGCAATTAGAAAATGCCGACATTGTTTTTAATCAAAGTAATGCCGTCACCAATGTCATTTGGAACGCATGATCATATGAATTGCACAAAAAAAAGAAGCTGTTCAACTTATGCTTTACAGGGGGGCCATGGTGGTAACAACCACAAAACTAGCCAGCAAACTAAACTAACAAATGAACTTACGACATATAGGCATTCAAAAGCGTGCAAGTAAAACGTAATTCCCTGTCTTAAACGTACCCACAGAAAATATTATAACATAAACATCCCATTCATTTCCCAAAAACGAAACACAACCATGCTTCCGTTCCGTCAACCCATGCACTTACCTAAAACTTGTTGCTGCCCGTAGCTAGTAATAAAAAAACAAAAACGACAAAATGAAAACGTGCACACACCACCATCCTGTTTTAGTACTGTGCCAACAATACCATAAGTCAAACTTTTAAAAAGGAAGAGAAGGACATGCATCTTCAACACTTGTAACACCGCTACATCACATCCGGCGACCCTGAAACAGGTTTACAAAAGGCGCCGACGTAGTACATTGGAGCTGCTTCTGTGTAAGCCATCCAATGATGTGGTCGTCATCAGGCTGGCACATCATGACCTCCCGGTAATCGGCGTTATCCATAAGTGTAGAGGCGAAGTGGAATAACGGTGTACCAATCAGGGATGGAATACTGCTCAGTTTATGCATGCACTCGGAAATAGTGTACAGCGATTCGTTGCCTGTGAAGTGCCTCACCGTGACCTGCTGATTCTTTGAACGCACAACATCTGTCATTCTGTTCATGCTTTCCGCAATAACGGACGCACCACTTGTTCCCTTCTTCGACTTTGAAACACTTGTTGATGGCGTCTTTCTCCTTTTTGCCTTTTCAATCGGAACATGCTCCAGTGAAGTATCATAATCCACGTCCTGTACTTCTGCGGGTATCGAATCAGCAAATGGCTGGGCTCCCAAACTACGCACTGAATCAGATGAGTCCTCAGCAGGTTCGGGAAGGTTCTCTCCTAGGGTCCAATGATGCTTCCCAGTAGCTGATGCCCCCATGAAGACCGTCTCCATCAAGTCACGGTGTTCCAAAGTTTTTTTCCTGAACTTCGCACACGCCTTGTTGATCTGCAGAAATATAGATGTATGAAAGAGGCAGACGTTATATTTCATATAAATAAATTCTATTGAAGTTAAATGAAGAAGTAAAAAATGTATCCGTAAATGACAAATATAAAACTTGTTTGTACATGCACTTACTGATTCCATCTTGTCCCACCACTCATCAGGTGCCTGAAACAACCCGGTGTCATAGTCAAAGCCTATCCCGGACACTCCCTTGCTTGAATCCATCAACTTTGTCCACGCTTGCCACTCTTTTTTCAAGGTCATGTACTTATTCTTCAACTGTTTTAGTCCATGTTTTTTTCCTGTTTTTTTCTCAAATTTCCTTGCCAATGACTTGTACCCTGCTTGGCTGAGGACTAAGAATGGGCGATTTCCTTTACTAATCTCATTTGCAATCAACTGGAGGAAAACTCGAACTGAGTTACTGTCCCATGACGTCTTGTGGCTTAACTGATTTTGTGTCTCTTCAAGACTGCTTGACTTGTCAATGACAACGTCTTTGCTTTTCGAGTGGTTACGCGGCGAAGTACGTGTCGAAGCCATTACTAATGTACAATTACAAAAGATTACCATCACAAATTTGGTTGTTATATGCACACGCATAAGCCATGACACATTAATAACAACAAACAGAGATATATGATGCTAAAGTTAAATTTGCATATAACCATTGAACATTACTAACGTACATGCATAGGTTCCATGGAAGTTAGTAGTGGACAAAAATATGATAGTTAGTATTACGGCTCCCATATGCGACAACATAATACCAACATGGTACGAACATACTAACAACATACGGACAACATACTAACGTCTTTGTACATACTAAGAACATGGTAACGGTGCTTACATACGGCACAACAAAATGACAACGACAATGCAGAGCACATACACAATGGTCTTAAGCACACGCAAGGATTGTTGAATGTCTATGACATCAGCCCGCAATTGCATGGCAATTTCATCTCCGGGTGACGCATAGCCTTGGTTCTCTTGCCTTCGTTCTTCACACCAACCAATCCAACTTACACAGGGCTGATGAGTGAAAATTATGGAACTATTAGTTTCATGGGTTGTTAATGTTCATAAAGTTATGACCGGTAAAGATTGGGTCACTCACCACAGGGCGGGGACAGACAAAGTAGGAACACCCTAGATTTTTGGTGGACTTGGAAATCTTAACAATACACGGGCCATGTCCACATGCACAAATTCGTCGTGGCCATGTACTGGAAGTTGCAGTAGAGGTGAACGATGCCATGCTACGCTTTAATATAAATTAAATTTACAAGAATCAACATGAACAGATACGAAGAGTAACGCAAATTTATATTTTAATATGTTTTTAACATCGTTTTAATATATTTGTAATATTTTTTTTAATATACCCAATTTTGTCATATATTTGTAATAACTTTTTAATATATTTACCTTCCTTCCCAAATTTAGTTTGTAATCTATTTTTGACACTCTTTACTATTTAAATCAAAAATTCTAATATTTATTTTAATATATTATTAATATCTTTCTAATATAGTTTTAATATATTTGTTAATAAACTTTTTTTTTTAATATATTTGTAATATAAATTTCATGTATTTTGTAATTTGTTGTTAATATATGTAGATAATATATGTACCTTCCTTCCCAAATTTAGGTCCAAATATATTTTTTATGTAATTATTATATTTTTTAGAAATGAGAATTGAGCATTTCGTATTGAGTAAACAATATACTGAAATTAATAAATCTATTTTGTAATATATTTTCAATATATTTTTTATGATATTTTGAAAATGGATTTTTGAAAATATTTGTACTACATTTTTTAATAATTAAATTTTGTCATATATGTTTAATCAAATTTTTACACTCTTTACTTTTTAACTCTAAATTTGTAATATATAATTTAATATATTATTAATATCTTTCTAATATTTTTGTAATATATTTGTTAATAAACTGTTTTTTTTTTATATTTGTAATATAAATTTTTAATATTTTGTAATTTGTTGTTAATATATGTAGATAATATATGTACCTTCCTTCCCAAATTTAGTTCCAAATATATTTTTTTATCTAATTAATATATTTTTTAGAAATGAGAATTGAGCATTTCGTCTTGAGTAAAAAATATACGCAAATTAATACATCTAATTTGTAATATATTTTCAATATATATTTTTTGATATTTTCAAAACATTTTTCAATATATTTATGATATTGTGTGTTCTGAAAATCTGACCACACTGCCCGCTTAGTGATCAACTGGAGAGCACAGGCAGAATAGATGGCTTCAGTAACCTGTAACAGAAAGAAAAGGCTCCGGCGGTGGTTCTTCCACCCGGGGGCACTCCGACGATCAAGTCAGTATATCTCTCAAAGATAATCAAGTGCTAAACGTAATACTCAAAGCATAAATTGCATACCTTAGACCCACGGGGGTGCCTCTCTTTTATAATATATTCAATTCAAGTCCTATTAGAAGTATGACTTCTATGAACTCCAATTCAGTGTTTACTTTGGACTCTTTAAGAGATAAAGATAAACTCCCTAAGAGCTTTATCCTTATCTTGGTTAAGTCCCCTCTTCGTCTTAGGACTCTTGTCCCTTATCTGCTTATCTCGGATTCCGATATCTTCGGATATAACCTCGGCAACTCCGAGATCATCTCGGCCTAACTACCACGACACGTGACACCTCGGCTGACACGTCGGCGTCACCATGCCACGTGTTGGTATTCAGAAAATATATCCCCACAACTGCCCCTAGGTTCTATTACCTCGGCACTCTGAGGTGATGGAACCTACACCGATATTTCGATATTCCTTTTCTGAGTAAAAAAACTGTTTAGCCGAGATAATCCACTTCCAGCCGACGTGTTCTCTTCGGAGAACAAGGTTTCGAACGTACTTTCCCACGCGCATGAGCTGTCATGCATATCTAACCGTTCCTTTCACGTGTTTTGTCTTCATTGGAGCGTGTCTGTGACGCACCTGAAAGCTGTCTGTCATTCGTCTGCGCCGTCTGACGCGTGCGTTGCTCTAGGCGTAATAAATGCCCTATTTTTGCCGCCGTTTCACGTTTTTGACAAAACTTTTCCTTGCCTCTTTCTTTCTTCACTTTTTCTATTATGATTTCTTGCTCTTTCTCTCTCCGAAAGCTCTTTTTTTTTCTTCGAATCTGCCATTGCTTTAATCTTCTGAAACTGTCTTTAATCTTCCATTTTTGCGAAGCTTTCTCTGCCGTCACAACCGATTTCTGAGCTCGGCGACTATTGCCCCGGCTTCATTTGTTCTGGTAAGATCTTTTCCTTTCATTCTTAATTCTCTTTATGTGCTTTCGTCTGCCGGTTGTTATTATTGCTTTTGTTCAAAGCCTTGGTTTTGTTTGTATCTTGAATCGTGGCTACATCTTGAACTTTTGCACTATTTCACAATTTTTCTTGCCACTGTTCTTGATTTTTTTTTTACTTCTGTATTTCTTTTGTTTCTGAGAACTATACCTCTGTTCTTGAATCTGAAACTTCGTCTTTGTTTTCTGTTTTTCGTATCTGTCCCAGATCTGTGCCTTCGATCTTGATCTTTATAGTTCTTAGGCTTGAGATTTTTGTGCAGAACCTTTAATTTTTAGGGAAAACTGAAACAAGCCTTATCAGTCCTTTCCTAGGTCTTTGCCGAGGTTCTTGCAACCCTTCTTTAAACGTCCATCTTCTGAAACACATTCTTCTTTTGTTTAAGTCGTCGTAATGGGTATGTGGAGGCATAGGGTAAATACCCCAACAAAACTCGAATACTTTAGGCAGGAATTCTCTATCCCAGCCGATGTTCACCTTAAGCTAGCTGGGGATGGTGATACCATCATGCCCACAGACCATACGATGCCCTTTCCTATAGTAGCCTTTACTGAATGTGGACTTCGGCTTCCACTTGATCCCTTGTTTCGCGAAGTTCTTCATTTCTACAGGCTGAACCCCATGCAACTTACTATCAACTCCTACAGGGTGATTAACGGTATTATAGCTTTAGCTAGGCAAGAAAATCTTAGGATCACCCTGGCCGACCTTCAGTACTGTTATACAATGTGCCCCCTTAACCTGAAGGATAGGGGCTTTGTTTATTACCTTAAGCCGAGGTCTACTGAGTTCAAAATTGTAGCCGACATCCCAGACTCCAACAAGGGGGCTGGGGATGACTTTCTTATTGCTTCGAAAAATTGGGAATTTGGCCTAGATGAAGATGTCCACCTCTACCCTCTTCCTCGAACAATTACAGAGGGCAAGGGTAAGAGCCCAGTGCCAATGCTTAGTTGTTTTTATTTAAGTCTTTAAAATTTGTCTGTTTCTAATGTCTGTTTGCTTGTCCTGCAGATCTTCATCAACCACCAAAAAATTTCCGTCAATCCTTCCTCCCGGGTCAAGATTTAAAGAAGCTTCTTGGTCTTCCAATCCATAGGCGCACGGCTCCCCTGTTGTTGAACTTCATTCCGACATATAAATCCACTTTACCCGACGTCCCAAAAAAGAAGAAAAAGAGTCTTTCCCCACCAACTGCCACAACTGTAACCGCGTCTTCATCCCAAACAGATCAAGGATCCACCTCTGACCCAGCCGATCTTCCATCCACTTCGGCCCCCTACTTAATACCAATTCCAGAACGTAAACGTCGACGAAGACTTGTAAAGACTGCCGAGATGGTTCGCCCAAGGCCTGTCGTTCAAGATCTTCTTGCCGACCGTCCAACCGACGCTGATGCTGAACCATCGCATGCGATGCCCCCACTAAAGCCAAAGAGAGTAAAAAAGGCTCAGCCCAAGCCCAAGGCTACTAACGCCGAGGTTGAGGATGCTTTGCCTATCTCCCAGCTGGCAGAAAGAAAAAAATCAACCTCTGCTTCCACCAAGAGGTCTGCTGGGGCCCAACCCTCAGGGTCTACACAATCAAAAAGGCCGAGGTCATCGTCTGTGACGACCTCGGCGTCCAAGAAGCCCGACATTCCATGGGCCCCTGAACTAACCCTGGAGGATAGGCCTATTATGGCTAGTGAAAGTGCCGACGATATTAACGTTGGTGTCGCCCTCAGCACTGCTCTTCTCCTTCCGAAGGATTTGGAACGCAATGCCGACCTCAGTGAGTATGAGAATTACGCTCTCATGCTCCAACACTCCGTTCAAGTAAGTATTCCTGTTTGCACTTGCGATTTTTCCTTCTGTTTCATACTGAGAATATTTTCTAACACTTCTGTTTTTCCTTAGGCCATTCAGCACGCCCATTCATTTTCAATGCAATCTTTTGAAAACCGGCAAAGATTGGTTGATATGAAGAGGGAAGCATCTTCCATGAAGAAAGAGATCAAATCTCTTGAATCAAGGATGAAAAAACATGGATCAGGCGCGGCTGCTACTAAGGCCCATGCAGTATGGCCGAATGAGAGAGCAGAGTCTGTGCTGAAGCTATCCGCAAGTAGCTGAAGCTGAGAAAAAGGCGCCGAAGTAAAGAAAAGGCCCCAGGCTGAGAAGAGCTCCAGCAGAGCTTTTGCCAC